CATAAATGCGCCGCTTGTCGACTGACCGTGGACTTGGTCGCGGTAATGCGATGGTAGGTATTCATTGTTTCTGTTTACTTTTTCTGTAAGGTTTGCGCTGAAATTTGGAGAAATAAACTTCAAAATTATTTTTTATTCAACAACTCGATTTTCTTGTCTACTAACTAACCGTGAATTAAAATCGTTAATCGATAGCACCGAATTTGTCTTCTCTGGGAAGGCTGAGACCGTTGTGGTGGAATCTGCCATCTGGGAAGAGGAATGTTATTGAGTGCCTTGCTTTTCTATTAAAATTAAGCTTTAGTTGCTTAAAATAATTTGAGGATTTAAAAAATGTGTGATCAACTTTTTTTGGGGGGTTTTCCCTCGATTATTTCCCTTGAATCTGTATGTGCTTAACAATGATTCCGTTGTGCGTTGTTTGAAGCTGTCTTTTTGTTGGAAGTTAGCGAGTAACTAAATTGCTTATAGAGTCGAACTGTCTACATTGGGGACTCTACTCTTCTCTTTTGAGTGCCTAAATTCTTTAAATTCGTCTCAAAGAATTCATAGATAAGTGAAGTATTTTTTTCGAAATATAGAAAAGTATCGGTAAATGCACTTATCATTAAGTGGGCTAATATGTATTCATAATTGAAATATTTGGAATTATATTTTCAAAACCTTAATGCTCTTTAAGTAGGACAGTCTGATCCAGTACTTAAGTAGGTATGTGCATTTTTACTAACCAGACATATCACTTATATTTAATTTCTTACGCCAATAATATCACTTCATGGCATATTCAGACACTTAACCCATTAAGGGGCGACGCCATTAGGAGCCTTGACAGAAAAAATTAGCGATATTTCTGAAAAGCCTATAGTCTAATTAAGAAAAAAATTCGTCCCCGAAGTTTCCAGGTCCATAGGGAAGGCAAGGGGTGAGGTGAATTGAAAACATATCACTGCGCGTTAAGGGGATAAGAAATGGATGTAAAAATGGTTACAAAGGATTTTACGATGTATTCCAAGAAGGCACCATCACGCCTTTGTTTCTATGAATAAATGTGTAGTATAAAGTTTGAAGTTTGTGGTGATATGTAGAGAAATGGTGTATCTCTCTCCATTTTTTCTCAAGCTGACCTGAAAAGTCCGATGTGCTTTCGCATCACTAGGTCGAAATGGGTTAAAGTGGCGAGATATAAATAAGATGATGAAATACGTGTAGTTCGTTAAAATACTATATTGGACACGAAATTCGTAACAGAAATTTTTAGACCTATACCATTACAAAGAACACTTCTTATAAGCGTTAGTCCCCGAAGAAGTTCAGTAAAACTTTCGGGTACATACTATACTAACCCACATTGAACCTACGAGTATTTTCTATCTCATACTCCTGCAAAGTTTTTCATTCAGAAGTACATTTTCAAGTAGTACATTTGGCCGAGTCGTAAAAGCGATAGAGATCCTTTTGAACTGCAGTGTGGTCTAAGAATACCGGTAACGGTTCTAAATTCCTTTTTGGGACGATAATCAGCTGATAAAAACTAAGGAGTTGGTTTCTCCATGCTAGAACCAAGATTGGTTGGTTAAGGTTAGGTTGCGGCGGTGGCCAGTTAAGTTTACTATGAGCAGGGTTGCCACTTTGGTAAATTGTTACCAAAATTGGTAGAAAAAATTTGGGTTGGTAAAAAGGTACATTTTTTCTCATTTTGGTAGATTTTTGACTAACTTTCCGTTCCCGATTTATTTTTCGTAGTTATCTTTAAATATATTATAAATTTCTTTGCATACTTTTTATATAATTACATACGTATTAATGTATATCGATATAAGGCGAACATATCGCATCAAAACTAATTTTACTGGAATCCGGAGGAGCTTTTGATTGCCTAAATATTTTAAATGATTATTTAAATATAAAAAAATTGACTGGTATGTAATTACGCACTATGATTGTTCGCAAACAAAATTAAATCAACGCCATTTTTTATCAAAAAATAAAATCAACGGGAATTTTAAGCAGCACATTGTTGGCTATACTCAAATAGTATTTGTTTTAAAACTCCATACCTTAAATTATTCTAAAAATTCAGAGCAAAAAATTCGAAATTTAGACGAAAAATCTTGGAATTTTTCTATATGTTTTATATGGTTTGATCCTCGATTTTTGTGGATTTAGTTAAAGCAATAAAAAACTTTTACTCGAAAAATATTGCGAATATTAAAAAAATAAGTTTTTTGAGTCACTGTATTTGTCTATAATAACTCGAGTTGAAGTTTTTCAAATAATGAAGTTTCAGTGTTGCCTTTATTTTCATCACTTCCGCATTTGGTTGAAAGAAACTGAGAATATGACAATAATATGACTCAAATACCGTATAACTAGTTAAATAAAAAGTAGTTTTTATTAAAATAATTATAAAAAAGTTATTGGTAGATATTTCGCAGATTTGGTAGATTTTTTTCAAGTGGATGGTAAATATTTTTTTTCGTCAGTGGCAACCCTGACTATGAGGCTACTGGAGTGAATTCGCCTTTCACTCTTTCAATTTCGCATTTTTCGCACTGTTCCATATTCTGCTTGTTCCATGTGCCTGCAGTTACAAGGGCATGTTCACCCGGTGCACATAGGAGTATTCGTGTAATGAAACCGATCAAACGTCAGTTTTATGAACATTGATAAAAGCGTTTTTAAATATATTATTAGCCCGTATACAAACTTTACAATCATTTTTTTATATTATTTTAAGTTATTTATTTAATCTAAATTGAAAAAGTATTAAAATACTAGCAACAGAAAATTCTGCAAAAAACTGAGGGCATATATGACGTGCTTTCCTTTTCCTAAAGAAGCTTTTTGTGCACCTGATGCATAAATTTGTTACGAAAATTTTTCTAAGTGTAATTACTCTTTTTGCTCATACAAAAAAAAAAAACACCTAATTATGATCAAGTTTCGTGTTTTATTTATTACTTAGCAGAAAAACACACCAAATAATTTTGACCGGTTTGACTATGCAAATACTCCTCTGTGCGATGATGTGAGTGCAATGACGTCAGCATTAGCTATGACTTGAATTGGCGTTTTTTACAGTGCTTGATGATTTAACTGCTGTGTATATAAAAAAAAAATTATTTTTTTATTTTTATTTTGCAAAGCACATTGTATGGGTATTGTTATAAGGAAATTGTGTTGTAACAGTGTATTTAAGTAAATGCAAATAATTTTATGATTGTTTATAAACTACATTTTAGAATTACTTTACTAGATTATTGCACATTAGGTTGCACCACCAAAAAAGTTGCGGTCAACGGAATTAATCTATTATATTTAAATTTGCGATTTGAAAATACCCCTATAAATTTCATTATATTGATTCCACTGATATTTTTTTTAACATTTTTATGCAGAGCTTTTAAGCTTACACTCTACTATCATCTGAGGTGAATTTTTATGAAAACTATTTTTAAAAACTACTTTTATTTATAAAAACTCGATTTTTGAAGGTATTTTCAAATGGATTCAGCTCAAGGCATATCAAACAGGTAGTGGCATTAGAGCAAAAACAACATTTGCGTGTATCGTGTTGTTGCTTCTGATATCGAAAGTGTCAAAAACTGTTCTAATTTTTTTTCGTCTAAATCAAAAAGTGCCATGTCAAATTCCAAGGAAAGCATAAAAAATAAAAATAAGAAATAAAAAATTGACACTCGAAAAAATAAAAATTGTTGCAACTTCATTTCTTAGTAAACTTGTTTGCCTCTCGAAGCATTGATCCATCCTTTGCAAGACCCATAAATCGGCGATTGTGCTGCTGAGTTGGGCGAACGTTCCAAAGCTGCTATTCAATCGCTGTTTTGTATGGAAAAAGGTTTCACATGCAAATAGATTTTAAAAATTTGGAATTTTTGGACATTTTCGAGACCAAATAATTTGAAAAAAAAAAAAAATCAAATCAGCTGTTCTGCTGATACTACCTGTTCAATGTGCCTTGATTCAGCTCACGTAAATTTTGACCCCAGGTCTTAAAATATAGTTCATTTTATAATATCGATGGAAAAACAGTACCGCTTTTTTATTTGTATGGAGAGTGAGGCACTCTATTGCACATATTACCCGCAGATAAATGACACTAATAGTATATCATATATTATCATAAAATGAAGTTAATAAAAATTTAGGCTCGTTTTACGAAACTAAGAACTCTTTGAGCGACTTACCGCGAGTGCTGTAAACGTTGATTTCGTATTGTTGTTTTTGGTGTTGCTGAACACTTTGTCGGTTATCAGTTCCTGGCACCGTTTGTTGTTCTTTGACTTTACCCTATTTATACTTAAATATTTGTTGTTTGTTTAACTTTTTCACACTTTCATACTTTCATAAACCGTAATACGTATAAACTCACAAAATTAAACAGCAACTATACCGGAAGCAATAAAACTTTTTTTTTTTTTTGGTGGCAAGTTAATTCGTATTCTGAGCTCGAATCGTCACATACGATATCGTATTACTCGCCGTGTAAAAACGCCGTTTTCGGATTATGACATCCCATTCAGCTTATACGACTGACGGTATCACGCGCGCGTAAATAAAAACCCCAAATTGCTTCTAAGAATTTTTCTAATTTTTTGGTTTAAACTTTAAACTAATTTGTACTAAATTCCTGGTGCTTTAATTACTTAATGGAAATTTCAAACTCTTACTGCTTTCTTCTAGTGTCAGTACGATTCAAAACACACAAGCACGACTGTCTTTTAAGATCGATCTACCACTAATACAAAAAGTCAGTACAATGTTATTCCAAGTTTGTTGATCTCTTTGAGGTATATATCTTTTTGCCTGGTATCCTTCTAACTATTGTGCGCTGTTATTCTTGGCGTACTGTTGACGCCAGCGCGATCATTTAATGACTGATCTTTTAAAAAGAATACTGGCAAAAATTATAACTGCTCTCTAAACTGCAAAGCTAATAAGCTTTAAATATCAGGTAACGATATTTCAGTGCAGTAGATAGCAACTGCTCTCGTTCGTGAATTGAGTGAGCTAATGTAGTTGCCTATGGATAAAAATAATAAGCTAACAAAGGTTTTAATAAAATTTACTAGATTTGATAAAATTTACTAGATACTTATATGTATGTGTTTATTTGCACAATGTGGGAGGTAAGCTGAAAACATATGGGTAATTTCATGTTTATTTAAACGTCGCACATTGAAAATATTCGCATTATTGAAGATCGTGACAATTGCACATTGGTGATAGAGTTATTGAAAATATAAAATTTGAAAAATTCTGCTCACATGTCTGTGTATGTATGCATATCTACATCCATTTGTTTTTAGTGCTATCAAGAATCTGCTTATTTATTTACAACTAACAAATAGCTGCGTGCTTCGCTGCGCCTTAAAATTATTTTTGTGTTGTAACTCCCACCCAAAGCTATTGTGGCATCATCCATAAAAAATAAAATCGATTTAAAGAGCTTTATGAAGTGAGAGTTTCAAGCAAATTTTCGATTTATGAAGAATTCTTTATTTTTTATGGTATGTATTAAAGCATGTTCACGATATCGTAATTTACGGCTCATTTGTAATTTATAAGCAAATCATGCTGAAATCAAGTAATTTCGCCTTGTAAAATCTGTTAGTAAATTAAATGGAATGAGATAATTTATCATAAATCAAGAACCAAATGAAGAAATTTATAAAAATGCCTAAACGTATGCACCCTTTTTTTAAACAAGTATAAATCACACACTTGTGCGTCGTACACGTGTTAATCACATATCTACCCAGCAAACCATTTTTTCAGAGTATTCTGCATTGTAAAGAAATTTTAAGGAATTCGTTAAGATTTAATTCGATTTTTTGCCGAATTTTCTAAAATGAAATAAATTGCGCACACTTCAATTCTTTTACGAAATTTCGGAAGAAAATCTGTGAAGCAACCAAAATAATGGTGCTAAATATGTGAAGAATATCTTTCAGAATTTTTCCAGAATTTTCTTTATTTTTCGTACAGAAATTTCTTTACGAGTTCGTGTCAACCGCTTCATATAATTTTCTTTGAAAATTCGTAAAAAAATCGTTACAGAAATGAGATACTCCTAACGATTTCCTTAAGAATTCGGGAGCTTTGGTTTGCAGGGTATAGAAATTATGAAAAAAATGTGAACGTACTTGATTTATGTGAAATAATTTGATCGAAACAAATTAACTGATGCTGTGATATGAACATAGTTTTAGATAATATATTTTCGAAGATATTTAGTAAGTAGGTAAATTATCGACTTTGTCCTGGAAATTTTATTTATAATCTTATAACTTGTGTCTACATATCGCGCACTTACTTCAAAGGTGTATTAATTCAATATTTGTCGCAAAAAAAATATTTAAATACCGTATATTTATCTGCCATAAAAAGTTGAAATGCAATTTTTTGTAATTTGAAAAAGTGTGCCTACTTTACAAATATAACAGACCTATTAACTATTATTCTGGCAAGTTGAAGATATGTCTAAATCAAATATTTCTGAAATACTTTCATTTCCTATCAATTTAATTGAATTTAATTTTTCAAATACATAGGTGGCAATCCGCTTCAAAAATATTTTCGACAGTAAACTTGCTTAGACCTTTTTAGTTTGATACCTATATTTTAAAATTTTATTTATTCTATCAATTTAACTGAATAAAATTTTGCAAACAGGTGGCAACCCTCCTCAAAAATATTTTCGCCTGTAAACTTTCCTAAACCTCTTTAATTTCATATCCCTATTTCAATATTTAATCTATATTCAAATTAAAATTATCAAACAGCTGGCAACCTTTCACAAAAGTATTTTAAAGCCGAAAATATAGCCTTCTCAAAACCTCTTTTTTTTTGACAGCCATATTGCAATATTAAATTTTTCTTATAAATTTAATTAAACTAAAATTTTCAAACTGGTGGCAACTCTCTAATTTTATTTTCTATATTTTAAGCTTGACCTCTAGCAATACTTCAGTGAAAACTGCATTCAATTACATGCATTAATTTTAGATTGCTGCGCGCACAGACATACAGACAGAAATTCTAGAAATTGTTGATTTGGCTTCAGTTGCTCTAATAAAGACTCCATAGTAATTTTTCTTTAATAAGTATCTAAATATATTGTACAGACATACCGTACCACCTGAGAGACAAAAAAAAAAGTTCGCCGTACACCTTTGAATCTAACAAATTTTGGTTGAGCAATTTCGAAAACAAAAAAAGTTGTATTTGGCCTAACGTAGGGGTAGTTTTTTTAGTTTTCCGTCATATCTTTGGCATTTACTGTAATAATTATTATAAATCCTCCACGTGCTGAAAAGTCGCGCAGATTTTTCGAAATTTTTTGTTTTGCTGACAGTGAGTTACTGGTAATACGAGTAACTAAACTGAAATTTTCTTTGATGCAATTTTCAATTTAGAGAAATAAAAACACAAAACAAAAACAGTTTACGTGTTTTTTTAATTTTAATAATGGTTTTTACTATTTTTACATTTACATACATATGTACGTAAATGCAATTTACTTACCATTTTTGTAATTAATACAACTCGTATTCAGTATACTTCCAACTAAATTCTTTTCGTTTATTGTCCTTGTAAAAGATTTTGCTAATTTTAATAAGTAGTTGCATTTTCTTTTCTAGGAAAAAGATTCCTTGCTTTAAAGCTACATGTGCATGCATTTGTATGCACATACAAATGTATAAGTAAGCAACGAATTTTCTTAAGTACATATGTATTTATGTTAAGCGTGTACAAAATTCAATATACATATTGGCATAAAGTAAGCTAGCGTAATTCTAAAATACTATACATATTATAGTTTAACACTAAAACATTTTAATATTTTTTTTTTCAAAAAAAGTTTACAAAATGCATGTTATAAAAACATTGTTAGTAGTAAAATCCGCTTAATAACTAAATTTAAATTTTAAACCTTTATAAATAAAAGCAAATTAATGGTATGCATTAGGTTTGTGTATTAGAAATTTCAAATTTTAGTGACCAAACACGTTTTATTATAACTTAGCATATTGGACATATTTTTAAATTCATTCATTAACAGAATTTATAGGGTCTTTCGTTTTTAGCTTAACCAATTTAGGAATTTTCATTGTATTTCTTTACTTACTGACTTAAAATTTTAGTAAACTTTTTTGCCTGCATATATCAGCGTATACCCCATCTTTTTTTAAATATAGTATATTAACAATGGTTTGCAGGCAAACATTTTTGTATAAAAAATTAAGAGAGTTCAACGAATTTTCAACAAAATTTTTATTTAGAATTTTGCTCATCCCTTGTATAGAGAAAAATGCGTAGAGACGTTAGCAAAAAAAATAATAATTAATTAAAAATTATTATTCCACACGATTTCTTAGCAACTTAAAATTTGCACTTTATAGTCATAAAACTGAATTGAATTCTGTTAAAATTGAACAAACAGCACACCATATCTTTTTTTATTCTAATTAAAATTTTCATACAAATTTGTTGAACTTTCTTTAATTTTGTATACATATAGTTAGAAACTTTGAATTATAGCATGAACCATATTTTTGCAAAAAAAAAGAACCAACAAATTGTAGCTTGTAAATCATTATTAAAGTTTAAAAAATAAAACAATGTGTACGCAGATATATGTATGCAGGAAAGTGTATATACACCATGTTTTAGTTCACATACAAAATCGTAGGGTCAATCAGGTGTTTTTCGCAATTCGTGTACTACAAAGCTTTTAAACTTTTTCAATATTATTTTAAATTCTTTTTAAATGTTATTGTTTACTTTTATGCATTGGTTGTTATTTTGTTTAACTTTTAGAAATACTGAAATTTAGCACTAAATTTGCTCAAAAAGCGAATCACGTTCTCACACATGTAAATCACAGGTAAACGTATTTTGATTTTCTACTTAAAACTGCACCTCAGCACTGGCTTTAGTTTTACATAATCAAAATATGCTAGCTACTTTAAAACTTACATTTAACGTATACTATTACATAATAATGTACATATGTATGTATGTATATACATAGTTATGTTTAAATATTTCTATTGATACATTTCAATGATTTCCTTAATACTCGCTACAGATCCGGCAATCAGAGCACATATCGAAAAAACACCTAGGAATATATTCTTGTACATCTTCCATTTGCACCAACCCAAGCGATCGGGCCACAAATATATTGTTTCACAAACACTAGGTACGAAAATGCCTGCAATAAAAAAGTACGTAAAAATAAAGTTTGAATTTATACATAAAAATTTCGAAAAGTTTGCAACTTCTACTTACCGAGCAGCGAGAAGAAAATGGCACCCACAAGACTGATAAATGGTCCTAGCTCAGGTATGGCAATGGAAACACCACCACTAATCAATATAATGCCGGTGCGTAAAAGTATCTGTGCCATATTGTGATTTTTTTCATTAAATTTGTGACTAATTTTTCGCCACAAAATTTCATTGGGAATGTAGAATTGCAGTCCATATGTGAAAAGTATGGCAATAGCCATCAGTATCTTCGCAGTATCGGCCAACCTACATAAATAAATAAACATTATTCGATAAAGAATTGATTATTATATTATAATATCAAAACTTACGCTTCACCCTCCTTTAAATTTAATGTAATACTGCCCTCCACTTTATCACCATAACGCACATAACCTAAGAAACCAATAGTCGCATACAATGAAACTACGACGATCATAGCTGTATTAAGCACACCAGGACATCCAAGAAACTGTTGTGGTTTCTTCATTGAATTCTCGACAGGCATAACTGCACCAATGCCTTCCATTGCGAAAATTACAGTGGCAAAATAGAGTGGTATCTTTGTGGCTTGCGCAATTAGCGGTTTATCTGAGAATACCAATGGCTCATTGAATAGGTAATATAACACAATGCCAAAAGTGACTACAATGAAAACATTTGCCATTGCAGAGAACGGCACCAGCAATTTAAGGGTTCTTATCTGTCCAATAAATAAACAGGGTATCAAAGTCAATGCAATGTAAATGCGTTTATTCCATTCCAAGCCAGTGTCATAATTGATGACATCGTGAAATGAAGTTCCAATAAACACTATATAAACACAAGCTGCCGCAAAGTAGGTGGCCATAAGACCGCCATCAACGAATTGTCTGAGTAATGTGAAAATTAATGGTATAATATGTACATTGATTTTAGGTTTTCTTCAAATGAATAGCAAAACAAACTTACTTTGCAAAATTCGACCAGGAACGCAGACGTTTCGGACCAATTTCAAAAACTTTTTCCGCCGTTTCAGCAAATGTTAGCGCAGGTACCCTGAGTTCTTTGCAAACATCTTGTGACGTTTCGACCTGAAAGAGGTAAATGAAAAAGAAAACAAAAAGAAGATTAGAATAATATTTATACACTAGTTAGTGAATCCGCATGGCGTGAAAACGTCCAAAATTAAATTTCAAAGACATAAAGAATACTCCAAATGCTAGTCAGAGTCATAAGCGATCTGAGTGCCGTATTTCATCTAAACCAGTGCAGCCGTTTCTTGGAGAATCAACTGTACCGGTAGAAAAAAGGATCTAAAGCCAAAAAAGGTAAAATTCATTGCCAGTTAAGCTTTTCTAGAGCTCATTCCTGCTGCCTCCTACTTCTGATATTTTAGTTCTTACATTGCATTTGATTGCAGTAATAGTAGATTTCCCTAATTGATATGCACGTTGGGCAGATTTCAAAAATGGTACATACATAACGGCCAAAACAGCAACCGCGCTCGTATAAAGGGAAATCAGAGATCGTAGCATGAAACGTATCATTAATTGTTATATGGAAAATGCTCGTTATCCGTTTACATTTAGTGACGGTCAGCAAACAGGTGACCGGTTTGTAACACAAGTAATAAAATTCCTTAAAAAAAAAACCAATTATGCTCCAATAAAGTGTCAATAATAGCTTCGATAAAAATGGAGAAATAAATTAATAAAACCATTTTTGGATTTTATTAGAATGTGGTCGAAAAAAGATTGATAAACAACTATTGACTATACAGAAATGCTTATGATTTACTTGACTACCTTCACTTAATTTCCTTTTCGATTTATAAAGGTAATAAAAAAAAGCTGTTAACAAACAAATGTACACATGTGGAGACCAGCAACAATACGAAACCTTTCAGAAATCTAAAAAAAAAATACCTTGCTCTCAACGGCAAAATAATAGATGAGAAACACGCATCAAAACGTGAGTATTTGCGGTTAAATATGGACACTTTAGCAGTGCTATAAGAAATATGCAATTGCTGTGAAAAGAATTTGCTCTTAAAGTTATGATAAAAATCATATATGTAATACTTCTATATTGATAGTAAGCTAACATCTCAATGTGTAAGCATTCCGAAATCAAAGCGAGACAGTCTAGTACCGTTTTTGTCAATGTATTGTGTACTTGAGTGCCGGTTTTGTATATGTGTTGTGTACATGTTTATTTATAAAAGTATGTGTTCCTTTTCTTTCGTACGTATTTATTGATATATATGTACTGTAGTGTTTTCGGACGGTACTAGCTCTTACTGCCAATATAGGAGTATTACATATATGATAAAAATGATCTAATATTTTTTTTTTATAGTTTTGTTCTCTTCGCACCAAAAAGTAACATTTGTTCGAAGCGTTTAATCAAAAAGTAACATTTTTATAATGGTCCTATCAAACGCTACATTTTAAATCAGTTAACCCAAAAAGTAATCTTTTTTTTTTTTTAACAAATTTAAAATACATTTTCATGCTTATTTAGGAAAATTTATTCAATGTAACAAATGAACCTTTTTCAGGGATCAATGGTAAGAAAAAACTTTGTCAACTTATGTACGCAAAATTATTTATGATTTAAATGGAACTTTTCGGTGTAGATATATAGTTCACATGCACATTTGAACCAGATATTAATGGCCTTATTCATAAAAAATAAAGTAGGTTTAAAGAGCTTTATAAATTGACGTTTTCAAACATTTTTCAATTTATAAACCTTTCATAAGGCCACTTTATTTCTTATGAATAAGGCCATAAGTCTATATTGGTCACACTTTATGTTATTTCAATAACTTCCGTCAACATTAAACTGTTTTTTTTGTTATTGAATTCATTTGTCAGAACTTTTACCTTTGACAGCTGAGTGGCTTTATAGGAAATTAAACTGATTGGGCCGTTGTTTATTTAAATAAAAAAAGGAAAATTTCATGCCAATCAAAGATGTGATAAGACAATCGCTTTCATAACTACGATAATAGTAACACTTTTATTGTAGAAAACAACTAATTTTATTATGATACGTTAAAATACATCTATTTTGATTAACTTGTTGCTAGCTGCAGAGAAAATCTTAATATTTAATCAATTTTTTTAGCGTACACGTAAACATATTTAATCTTCAAAAGTTTCCTTTCAGTTTTAAGTGTTTTGTTTTCTAAGCCACACTGGACATTATTTACATTTAATTGGAGAAGTCATACCAGCTCGAAAAACAGCTTGGTGATAAGATATTGCGAATTTTTGTTAAAAACTACTTACCAAAATTTTCACACAATGCGTACAGAGGAAGCCCACAATTAGCGTTGCAACCATGCCGAACAACAAGCCACCATTGGAGAAGGCCATTGGCATTGCCAAAATGCCGGTACCTAATGAACTTTTAAGCATGTGTGCTAGCGCACCACCAGTCGATTGACCCTTAACTTGATCACGGTGTTCCGAAGGCAGGTAATCACCGCTAAGCTGCGCCTTTTCGGTTAGATTTGTGCTGAAATTTGTAAAAGAGGATAAGACAATGGTAGCTCATTAAAAAATATTTTGAAAAAAATAAATAAAAATATTTGTGTTATGTAACTAACCGTGAATTGAAATCATTCAGCGTAAATACTGAAGTTGACTTCTCTTTAGACGTTGGTATCGAAGTGGTGGAGTCCGCCATCTGTAAAGAAGGGATTGATGACTATTTTGATTAGAGTATTAATATGTGCTTTATAGTCAAGGGAGCAGTACTATATGTTTGTGTTTGTACTATAAAGGCGGCAATAATTTCGTCCTGACAATTGTTTTGTAGGATTGGAAAGAAATAGTTCATCATGAGCTTCTCAAACTAAACCATTGATACGACGTTTGAAACTGGTGCTACAAAATAAACTGCCAGGCCATACTAAATTACACAAATCTGTTATGATTACTCCGCAAAAATAATGGGAGCCTAGCTGGAAAGTTTTATGCATCCAATGTTTCGAGTCCCATTTTCGAAAAGCCAACCTGACACCTGAGGTCGATATAATTTTATAATGGTTAAAAAATATACCGTCTAGCTTGGAAAAATATACTGATTAAAATAATGAAATGCCTCTACGGTCAATTTGACTGGACATATTTTTTTATTATTTTCATAATTAATTTAAAAACTATTGGCAATTAGCGCATTGCTGCTAACATCACTGATGGTTTTTCTTTCAAAAGTATTAAAATGAAAGATATATCGCTTTGTAGAGGAAAAAATTCTCTACGTAGGTACATACATAATTCCAGTAAAAATCGCTACGCTGCGGCGAAGCACTTTCGCGTAATCAATTGCCATTGCTCTTCTTCATTAACTTTGTTTAAACGCGTGGATACATGGCGTATGAGCAACATTCAGATGCTGTTCATATGTATTTCAGACTAAAATAAAACGACTCATTGGCCTGCAAAATGAAACTACTGCGGCCAAAAATTGTAAAAAATGGATTAGCGAAATCTGAAAAAGCTACTCCGCAGATCCAACTCACCCAAATGAAAAAGAATTTTAAATAAAAATGCATACATACAGTCATAGGACGAGCTTAAAGTAGAGAGAATGCAAAAAATAAATGTGTAAGAAAAAATTTTAATTTTGTCGCAAGTAATTTAATAACATTTTTTTACTACTTCGGATATATCAATCTGGTTTTTTTTTAATACACGCATCTATAGTCAACCATTGTTTACATTCTTATATATCTACTGAAATTCAAAAACAGTTTCACTTCAAATTCTACATAATTTTGTGAGTATGAAAATTTTCGAGTGCTTACTTTAAAAAGGTCGAAGGAAGAGAGTTGAATTATTCTTAGTACAAGTAAATTTTAAGTGTAAGTATCATATTATAAATAGTTCCACAATAGACTCACATCCAGTAAAATTTATTGAATTTTTATTGTATGTATAGCTGAAGGAAAACACTCTATATATATGTACATTAAATAAGCTTATTCTCCAATTATACGTGTGCGTCTTACACAACCTTCAGTTTTATGCCACCTCCAAACAGCAAATGGATTTTTATTAAATTTAGTATGCAGGTATTGACAATGTTTTCGTTTTACCATTTTTGAAATGAAGAAATAGGAACTGCTTTAGAATTAAAATAAACTTGTTTGTTAACTTTCTCCGAATTTTCATTAAACTTAGTACTTAAAGCCAAGTTTTTCTAGCAAGTGGACATCATATTGTGGAGCAGAAAATAATGTTACTCATACGCCATATCGTACATGGCACTACTCGTACATATTCGTACAGTTCGTATGAGTAAAATATAATTTTTTAATCTTTGCGTCTGACTAACTGATTTTTACCTTCTGTCCGATTTTTGCTTTTTTGGGTTGAAACCAGCATATACTATAAACTTCATCGAAATAGCTGTGCGTCGACTTTTACCATTTCGAAGAGCAGAATAAACCATAACGAAATTTCAGTGAATTTGTATACTTTTGGCCGCAGCTTGTATGGGGACGTCCCACTGCGACAAGCACTTATAGTCAAAATAAAGTCGACTCTAAAGTTAATTGCAAATTTTGTACATAATTTTCAAAGGCAACTAACTTTAGAGTCGACTTTACTTTGATTATAACTACGGGCCGTTGAATTTAAGTACATATGTATGTATATGTATGTATATTTATCAATGACTCATCCTCAATAATTGAGTGACTCGTTGTTAGTTTAAATAAAATGCCTTTTTAATTTGGTTTACTAATAGTTATCCCTGGAAATTCTTGCAATTTCGCTGTGATTTCCTCGTTAAAATCGGAAATATGCCTAAATACGTTATTTGAAAAAATGTCTCCGGTTCTTCAGGATGCTGCATCTTCAGCGACAGTACTGAGCGAATAATATGTAAAAAAAAGTCGAAAAACTAATACTGACCGATAGAATATTTAATTAAATTGTTGCAGCTAAATAGCACAAGAACTACATATTAACAAAGAATGAATTGGAGAGATTTTACATGAAAAAAATTAATGCGCGCAGAGTTTAAACTATTTTTCGGAGTTGTTTCAGAGTGGTTGGTTGGTTGGTTGTAGTGCTTCATAGTACTACTAAAATACAATTAGCAGCGCATTTTGTGCCGTTTTGGTGCGCTTTAGTGGGAATGCTAAATACCTATGCAAATTTAGTTTTCTCGATCAAACCAACTTGATTGCTTGATGAATTTGCTGATGTCACCTATATCAAATCCTAATATATCTGCTAGTTTTGTTTGCATGTGTCTTCCTAGTGCTTTACGCCTAATAGCCGCTAGACCTGAACATTCACAAAGGAAATGCTGGAGGCTTTCTTCGCTTTCTGAGGTGACAGCTGCGACAAGCTCTATTATATGGGAGCCCCATTCTTTTCGCCTATGCCCCTGAGCAGATCTAGTGTCTTCGTCTTGTTATAGACCGGAAAAGTCCGTATGTCCGACCACCTCCGTTTTGCTAGTCCAAGAAAATGCAAACCAATAAGGCTCCTACCTTCGCCAATTCATGGACTTCTTCTCATTACCTTCAATGTTTCTATGTCCGTGAACCCAGACAAGAGAGACGCTTACTGACGCATACACTTCTAGACTAGCTGGGATTTGGTGTTCGGTGAAGCTAGCCCTAACAGAGCCGCTTGCCTGTCAGAGTACATTGTTGCTTTCTTAATACTACAGACGCCTTCTCTTAGAACCTTACGTGGAACAGGCACGTGAGGCCGTCGAAGAGGACATATATAACAAATTGGCGACGGAGTGTTGGTTCTTTCTGCACCGCACAGGTCGAGAGGGATGCCTTTCAAAGAAATTGATCATCCACCCTTCAGTCTGGAGATGTAGTAGTTATACATATATATGTACATATGTATGGGTATATATATATGTGCATATGTATGTACAGACAGCCGGTTACTTAATGTCTGGTTTTCACTAACTGCGGGTTAAACATCGTTATCGACGTGATCAACTCCATAATATATGTATAACACGGAGTCGATAACATCGATAACGATGTATAACCTGTAGTTAGCGTTAACCAGACATTGAGTTACCGGCCCTAAGTATATATCAATCAAGGCGATGTTTAAAAAGCCAATAAAAACAGATTGTTGGGGCTTATCTTATCGTACTTTAACACTACTTTGGCCATTTCTGGTTAGTAAGTCCGGCGACAGCAGTAACCAGTAAACCGATAGAAGTTAATGTAGAGCCAGACTGTTAAGTAATATTTTTTTTTGGAATTTATAGATCTTTATTGCCCATGCACGCTTTAGATTCAGTGCCAGTTATCAAGATATAGTTGTAAAATCACTTTTTACAATTTCTTAAGAAAAACCACACAAGGCATTTTGTGCAGAGCGTTGCTTTGAGCTTTGAAATTTCAATCATGAGTGTGTCGTACATACATATGTACAATGGTCATAGTTAGCTGTATTTATTGTTTTATTATAGTTATTACTTAGCATTTCCTATATCTACATAAGTAATTTTATGGGTCCTCAATATTTGTTCGGTGTTTATTCCGCAGTGTTGCTAACTGATTGCGATTATAAATGTATCAAATAAAAATCAGTTTTATTGGTCAGAAATTCAGGTAATTGTTTTTTTTTTTGCTACCAACTTACGCTTACTTTTTTGTAGCTAACGTTAATTTGGTCATGATTGATCGAAAAGCTGTGTTTTTATTATTGAAAAAATAAAAGTAAAACCCTAACCTCTGCTGCAATGCAGAACTTCTGTTTTTTTTAGCACGAAAAACCGGTATACATGCATTTTGAATAGTGCTGTGCGCATGAAAGCATATAAAAATTAATTGGTTTTAAGTGAAGCTAAGAGAGGACACATGGTCTTCGTAAATCTTTGTAGTTTCGAATTATACTAAAGGTTTAGCCATAAATACTCTTGTTGTGTTTTGTTGATTAATTTCAGTTGCAGAAGTAAGCGCAAATTTACGATATATGTACAGGTTATGAACCAGCATGCTCGTCCCAGCAAATAAATATTTTTGTTTTTCCTACATATATATGTAGTTAGGTTAATGCACCGCTAAATATTTGCTTTTTATTCGCTGCTCAAACTCTTTATTCAATGTTATGTAATCGAATGCCATACAACGTTATTGCATGCAAATATGAAGAATCTCGGTAGAACTGCGCTAAGCAAATATTTTATTGCAAGAATATTTTTTATGAATATTTAAGCAAAAAAATGCATGCGACAAGTGGCGCTCGACTGATTGTGAGTGTGGAAAATTTTATGATGTTATCAAATAACTGCAATGAAAGAAGCATAAAACGTGCCATTATACGGTGTTTACATGAGACGATTTTATAGGCAACTTTAGAGGCGATTAGCTGAATCAAAAGATGGCTGCCCTCAACTTCATTGGAAGCGATTAGTTGAAAGGCCGTTCACACCAGGCGATTGTTGCTTTCAACTAAATATATCCGGTATTTTCCATATTAGCGTAAGCGCCAAAATTTTTTTTTCATTTTTTTGTCGTTCTTCAGCTGCTCCTAATAGCACTATAGACATAGAGCAGAAAAAGAATTGAAATGAAATTTCAGTTATCTCCAAGGACCGAAAATAAGCGCTAATTATAAAATAACGGTTAAAGTATGACAGAAAAAATACATAAAAAACAATAAAAAAATTTTCGAAAAAATAAAAATCCA